AATTAAGTAGTGCGTCTCTATTACCATCATAATGCGGAATCGCATTTAGATTACTCGAAATGAGCTTAAATCTGCTACTTATGTCCAACTGATCCATGTTTATAACTTATTACGCAATTCTAATTCGCTTCTGTGTTACAAACTTGTCTCAAATAGGAAGAAGAAAAAAAAATTTTACTTTCGATCGATACGATTCGTAATATTAACTCCTATTATACATACATTTCATTTTGTAGATTTGAATAATAATTTAAACGGAAGGATGCTATGTTCTTGTTGTTGATGCTGCAATTGGTTCTGTTAAGCTTCCAATTCGACGTTTGCAAGTGTTTGTTGCCTGTAGCTGCTGAAGCTGTTGCTGTTTTTATAGCTGTCACTGTTGCCGCTGTTGTTGCTCGTGTATGTGATTTTTTATTCTCTTTTAAGTATGTTGGTTTTATGCAACTGTACCAACAATTGTACGTTTTTCTACTTTTTCTTCACTGGTCTAACTGTTAAGTTTTTTCTTTTTTTTTCCTCTTACTTTAAATTTCAGTTATTATTGGTTTTGTATGTAATTTTTCTCGTTCTTTTCGCTTTAGACTTTACGCAACTGTACCCACATTTGTACGTTTTTCTACTTTTTTGTTTCTTCACTGGTCTAACTGTTAAGTTTTTTTCTTCTTTTAAATCCCGAAATTTTCTTTTAGGTTTTTCTTTGCACACGCTCTTAAATTTCTTTTCCAGAAAAAACTTCGCGTGGTTCGCTTCCGACTGCGCCAGTTAAGTATGTTAAGCGAGTTCTTTATTTCAGCAATTCAAAAATCGAACTAACTTATTCTAGTTACATTGAAATGCACATAGCCTACTTAAAGCGAATAGCGGGTGGAGTGGACGAGATGATAATTATTGCAATGGGAGATGGGAGACAAGGAGAAATAGAGATTAAGCGTTGGGAAGCGTACGGAATATGGTGTGTAGGGTGAGGGGAATATCTGGATACATAACAATATAATATTGCTAAAGTAAATAGGATAGATATTTTGTATCATACCCATTATCCTTTCTTTTGTATGAATTCCATTTATAGCAGATAGTTTAAGGTATCGTTTCATGTAAGAAATTGATAATTGTTCCTTGTAATCTGGCTCTGTAATTAAAATATCTATGAACAGTTCGAAAAATTATCTTAAACTGATAAGAAGATATTTCGTCAAGCTTGAAAAACAAATTGGTTTCTGAAAACATTAATTCAAACTACAAGGGATTAAGTTATGACTTAAGCTTATATCGCTATAAATTGTAGATCTGAGTGAATTTATTTTTGTCGGTATTCTTGGAAGGACGTCTGCCACTGCATTTTTACCAGGTTTGTACGTTAGTTCGTAGTTATACTGTTCTAAAATGGCTTTCCATTGCTTCATTTTACTGTTGGTGTTCTTATGGCTAAGGTTCTTGAAATGAAAGTTATTGGTCTACCGTCTTGCGATAGGGCGGCTGATGCAAAATCTATCTAAAAATTCTTGATAAATCGTTAGTAGAAGGATCTTAATTCCTTAAGCGTTTAAGGGACTGGGAATTTAGCTACCGCTGCTAATTTTTTTGGATTAGTTCTTATCCCTTAAGGGCTGATTACGTAGTCTAAGAATTCAACTTCTTCTTTTGCCAATGTGCATTTCTCTAGTTGGATTTTCAGGTTTGCATTTTCTAAAGTTTCAAATACTAGTTCTACATTTTTCAAGTGTTGTTTTTTATCGTTTTTGCCAAATATTATTACACTATAATATCTTACTCCCATATGTTGACGAAGAATATCATCTAGCGCTCTTTGGAATATAGCTGAAGCATTTTACGACCGAAAGATAACGGGAGAAATTCATACTTTCCGTTGTATACGTAAAATGTATTTTTTTTATTTTTGCCTCACGAAGTGGAATCTGATGAAACCTGCTCTTTATATCGATAACAGTAAGTAATTTATTATTTCCCAGATTAGCGAAGACCTCGTTAATTTCTGGTATAATATATTTGTCGCGGTTCGTAACAGAATTGAGCTTGCGATAATCTACGACCATTCGGTACTTCATTTCACCAGATGAATCTAATTTTTTGTTAACTATCTATGTATATTGAGAAGTTATACGAAGATTTTGATCTCCTTATTATTCCGTTAGCAAGATAAGATACAGGTTTGGCTTGGAGCAGATACGGGTTACATTTGTAGTCCGGATTTCGTCTTTTACGAGAGTGATGTAGATATGTTTTTCGTCAGATTCGGCGAAAACTTGAGCACTTATTTATAATATTATAAACCTTCCCAGCGCTGGACCAGAGTGGTCATTCGGTATTCAAGACTACCTATGTCCCTTTAGTTCGAATAATGCATTATGAGATATTTTCGATTTGACTCCATTCGAGTGGAGTGTTGTATGACTCCAATGTGCTGTCAGCATCGCCAACTATTTCGTGCCCAATCATATGTAGTATGGCAAAGTACTTAGGGGTGTTTTTACCCTATCATTACCCTGTGTGTGTTTTTTTTTCGAATTTAATCTGTTTTACCACTCGTGTAACCTTATTTTTTTGTTTTCAAGCTGTTTTTAGTACTTCGTGCACTGGTCACAGCTTGGGCGCGAGTTAAAAAAACTTTATTTTAGTTTGCTAGCTGAACTGAATGATACACCCTGTTCTATCTGTAATAATTAAAGAAACTAGTCTCACAATTTTTCTTTTAATGAAGCAATTAGTATCATTTATTGAATTATTTTTATTTTTACTTTATAAACCTTCAAATCAACTGTTTATAGTTACTAAGGTAACTATTATGCGGCAGCTGTGGCTGTTTATCCTGCAACAGTTGTTGGTGCAGCAGCTGGTGCGGCAGTTGATGGTACAGCAATTGGTGCGGCAGTTGACGGTGCAGCAGTTGGTGCGGCAGAAGATGCGGAAGCAGCTGCAGTTGAAGGAGCAGCAGTTGATGGCGCAGCAGATGATGATGAAGGAGCTGCTGGTGCAGGTGAAGGAGCAGCAGTTGATGGCGCGGCAGATGATGATGAAGGAGCTGNGCAGATGATGATGAAGGAGCTGCTGGTGCAGGTGAAGGAGCAGCAGTTGATGGCGCGGCAGATGATGATGAAGGAGCTGGTGGTGCGACAGTCGATGGTGCTGCGGTTGAGCGACGATGGCGAATGCCACCACCACATCCACCGAAACCTCCGAGTCCTCTAAAACTTCTGAAACCTCGTCTAAATGGACCGCCTCGTCCGCCTCGTCCGCCTAGCCCACGGAGTCCACGGAATCCATTAAAACCACGAGATCCTCGACGTCCGAATCCTCGTTGACCTAGAATTTGTGTAAATCAAAAAAGTGAAAGGCTTTCCCAAATGTTACCTAAAGATACATACCTTCAACCAGGACAACCGCGAAAGCGATAATAAATAATACCGTAAAGAATTTCATCTTCTCAATCAAAGGAATGTGCCAAACTGCTGACTTTCCGGTGGAAATCCTAATTCTTATATAGCATAATTTACCTTCATTAAAATCCAACAAACAAAGTTTAACAAATACAATGTTAATATCTTAATATTTCACACCAACTGTGAATACATTTTTTATTTAGATAAAGACAAACAAATATTTGCGAACTAAAAAACGACGGTAATGTTTTAATAAACGTAATAATATAGTAAATATTAGACCGCAGTTCGTTAGACTTGCGGTCTGAACGCCATTCTGCAACATGTATTGACCACAACCCTTGCAAAGGTTCTACAAGCTCGTGCAGGAACATATTGTTTGATATTGAAAAGAATACCAAGCATTAAAGACAAAAAGGTAGCACAATAACATTTTTACATCGATCAAAGATGGCACCGAACTACATTTCTGGAGCTTAAAGCTCAGTTGCTTTTTCTACGGACTCGAAAGAAAAACGCTACAAAAGTAGAACGATAGGGACAGCAAACGCTGCCACATTTTCCCCGCTCATTTGACACTTCTCTTCATTAAGGTTTGCCATTTCATCGTTGAAAGATATACGATCCAACGACGAGTCGAAATTAATAAAATTTACTTCCAAGATTCGGAGTCAGTAGCCTCAACTTTTAAGAGCGCTACGTCCAATTGACGATCGTCATAATCGCCCTGTCAGATCAACAACTGAGCATCTAGTGTAAAAACTTTAAATCCACAGGCACAGTATAAAATGTTCCCGTGCCAGTGAGATACAGAAGTGCCCGTTGAGAATATTGTAGCGGCAGCGCATCGATTGAGGAAGATCTAAATCAGTCTCTCACACGTCGTTCTCAAGCGTTGGTCATCTCTGTGACGTCTTTGTGGCAAATTTTGTGGAAAGATCGTGACCTACATCCTTATAAGTTCAAATTGACGTAAGCTTCCGCCTGACCATCATTATTCGTGAATTGGGCTGAGCAATAACTTGAAAATGATCCGGATTTTCATCGAAAAATCGTCTTCGGTGATGAGGCTCATTTCTGACTGAATGGCTTCGTCAATAAACAAAATATGCGTTATTAGTAATGCAGCACTCCAGACGTACTTCATGAGTCACTATTGCATGCTGAAAAAAGTTCGGCGCCATAAGCCACACAACGAATATCACAATCGCTTTATTGAAAACCAAGCTTGGTGCTATCTCACGAAATGGCCCATTCCATGCATAAAGGCATTGAAAGCAATTTCAACAGGAATTTCTGCATTGATATCCCAAACCAAAATTATTTTATTTTGAAATTTTTGTAGCGTTCTTATTGAAAACCCCGTTATAAACGTACTGTTTAAAAGAACTGCGTTAATAAAGTCCGACATTTTTTGCATATTTGTAGGCTTATTATTAAAATTTTCAGTGAGATGGATTTTCAGAGTAAAATATTAATAGCCTTAAGAATCAAATTTTTTTAACAGCATTGAATATTAGTTGATTACATTTAATTTTGCTTCTGAATTTGTACTTAGCATTACACGTACTCTACTACCTAAAGAGAAGGTAGAGAGGAGTGAAACAAGTCATAGAGTATAACGATACCTAACTTAAAGTGCTTTCATAATTCCTTAAGACTTTGCAGCAGTAAGTGCAGCGGATAAACTTCTATATTTCCCGTCGTAGAATTTTTTTCTACTACCAGAAAATTTCGCAAAGGGTTCAATGAGTTTTTAAGCACTAAAGAATCGTATTTTTATTGAAACTTCCTTAATTTCGGATTTAATTGACACTCGATAAAATACTTTTGGTCTATAAAGATTAACACTCCCAACAGAACTTCATACAGCATCTGTGGGCACAGCAGACGAAGACTCTGGTGCAGCTGATGAGGAATCAGGTGCAACTGATGAAGATGATGGTTGAGGCCGTGGTTGACAAGGGCGATGACCCTGAGGTCTGCCTAGGAGCGCACCAGGACCAAATACGATCCATGAGTTGACAACTATTCATTCTTCTAAATTAAATGCTGAATGTTCTGCCATTGTCGTCTGGTGAGCTACGCCGATTGAGTGAATATCTATCATTTCTAGTTTGTGTTTCCGAAAGAAAAGCACGTTTATAGTGTTTCGTGCATTTATTGTCAGCCATACAAACCGAAAGGGATTGTAATGTTCGAAAGGTCCATCAATCATATTGGCTTTCACCACTTCGAATAATACTGAATCTTTCTCTGCATCAGGAATTTCCACAGAAATGATTTCATCAATTTGATCTGCTGTAATCACCATCCAAAGGAGAATGTGTACGTGCGGCAAACCTCTCTTTTGCCACTCAACAGAGTACATCTAGCATCCAACAGTACCATCAAACATCGTAACTGTTGTTTGAAAAGTTGTGCTATGACATCGTGACGATAGATTGTTGATTGACCGCGATCCATAATTCCGCACGTAAGTCATCGCATCCTGGGAGTGCTGCCTTGCCTTGGGCTGCCATACGTTGCTCGCAAAAAAAAGGCCTACCACTATTAGGGCGACCTCTTCGTGGCTTCGTAACAAATTTTAATCTGCAATTGATCAGTTTTCGTGAAACACACATACTACATATATGTAAAGTTTTCAGTAAATAATTTTCAATCATTTTTCTTTTGAATAGCCGGAATAAAAAAGCAATCGATCGAAATTGAACAAACAATCGTTCGTTTGTATGGGAAAAAGAAAAGGGCTGTTTTTAGGGATTTCTCGTAAATTATTCGAAATTTTCTTGCCGTAAAAGCCATCCCTGAACCTCAACGACCACATTAGAAAAAGAATTGTCAAATTTGGTTCGGTCGTATGAAAGTAATGAGCGTACATACATTTTGGCGATTCATTATTTGAATTTCTAATATTAGACCAACTATGAAAATATTAACTATTGTATTTCTATAAATATAAAAAGTATGTAATCAAACAACTACGGAAAATATTTATAATACGTAATAATAAAAGTAAATATTAGACTACCAGCAGACTAGGCATGTAATCTGAATGTTGGACTTTATTATCCGACAACTTGTATTCGGAACAGCAAACATTAATCAAAAGCCTTACGTATAAAAATAAAGGCCTGAGAAACAAAACAACAAGGTGATCGAGTGTAGTACCATATTGAAAGCACAGCTTTAAGGAGATAGAAGGATAAAGGTACAAATAAACCAGAATTACTCCGACATGTTAACACTGACCAAATTTTTTCCGTTTCTGCCATCAAAGCAACTCAACGAACAAAATTGAGTTCAAGCATATTTAAGAAATGTGACGCACCAAAGAGTCACTTTTTTTAATAGGCAGAATATAGGATTATAACCGCTGTATCTCCTAGTATTCTACAAATAAAAACGAACCTGTGTTTTACGGACGTCAAACTAATTTAAAAAACAACACTTGAGTACATAATTTTGTTTTCTGAACGAAATTAAAGCCAATATTATTGTTTTTATCAAAAGTCTAGCGATTTTGTAAACAAAACTATATTTGATTAAGTTGTTGTGGACGCTTTCTTTGTTCCTCAGTAGAACAGTAAAAAAAGTTACTTGTATGTAATTAGTTAACGTGATAACCTACTGTAATAACTACAAATAAATTTATCGATCTGCCTAAAAGAATTAAAGAGACCACTTGAAATAATTGGCTTAACTACTTTGATTACCATTCATAATTCTCCTTCATCCACAGTTGTTATTTATTGCAGATCTGATTGAAGCTAAAATTTTAAATCATGCGACTTGATAGAGAGCTTGAAATTGATGCATCATCTGTGATCTGTTCAATTGATACATTCTCTGCGGTTTATCAACCAAGTTTCCATCATAGAAAAGCCAACAGCCGACAGCTAACCATTGTGCATTGAGCATTCTGACATTGTACAGATATCGGAGCGGTCAACGGAATGAAGAAAAAGAAGCGAAAAATGCTGCAGTAACTGCTTGCTATTCCCACAAACTGAACTGGAGTAATTCCAAATCGTTTAAGATACGATTAATCGAGATGAAAAACAGCGGGAAAAGCAACGATACTCATCGCAGCAATGCAAATTTTAATTTAAAATTTCTAACTCATTCACTCAGTATGATTCTTCAAAAAGAATACATTAAATACTTGCACAAATATGATAGATACGCTACTTGTAACGTAATGAAATGAAAGACAAAAGGCTATGGAACATTTTCGATAAAATTATACAAACATGAAAAAAATTTCGGCAGAGCTGAAAGTTGACAAAGAGAAATCAAGAATCTGCGGCCGACAAACAAAACGCGAAAAATTCTGCCGGAGAACTTGCAAAGGATACTATTGGGTCTTAGTGTACATTAATTTGTTAGATACAATCGACGAAGATTTGAAGACGCGCTTTTTTAGAGAAGTATTGGACGGATTTCAAGTGTGTTTGCTGCTTCCAAAAAAGTATGTGCTTTGAAAAGAAAAGTAATGAAAAATCTTCTTGACTGCTTGATAGATACAACGTCGTCACAACTTTTGAAGCTCAAAGTTGAACTTAATCACTGGCAGTGCCATTGAAGGCAGAAGCAAAAGTCAAAAGTCTACTGGCTTGGAAATGTTGAAGAACTGCGTAAACCTATACTCTATAATTCTTAGTTTTCTTCGCATATACTGCACACTGCCTGTGACGAATGCGAGCTCTGAATGCTCTTTTTCGACACTTTGCCGCATGAAGACGTGGCTGAGGACGAACACGCTTCAAAATAGATTGTTCGACCTGAAAAGTGGATTTGAAATCTACATGTTTCAAGTGCAGGTTTATTTCCTCCGTGTAGGTAGTTGCTTTCTGCATCCCGCCGAAATTAGAGGAAGATTTGGAGTTCCTCTGACATATTGAGCGAGAGCTTCTCTGGACTACCACTATAACCTCTGCATTCCACTTAGCTAGTGGAAGTACATTAGTTAATAAATTACCGAAATCTAGTTTGTTCAGACATTTATTTCTGAAAGTTCGAAAATTATCCACCTAACCAGTCAGTTTTTATTTCTTAATGA